GTGAGGGAGCCCGGGGCGGCGGGGCCGGGCCGCGCCGCGCCGCGCCGTGCCGTCTCCCGTCCGTTTTCAGTCACTAAACAGCTTCTCCTCAGCAGCTGGTGTCGTGGCGGTCGCTGGCGGCCACCTTCGTGCTGTGCGGGGGGCTGCTTGCCGGCATGAAGAAGGTGAAGCGGTGGAAGGAAGAGGGTGAGTGCGGGGGGGGAAGGACCGGAGCCTTCCCGCCTGAGGCCGCCGGCGTGCGGCCGGGCGGGAGAAGCAGCAGGAGCGTCGTATTTTGTATTTGATGTATTTTTTTTGTATTCAGATGTATCTTACCCGCTTCGGCATCCCGCTGAATCACGTCACGCTTCGCACAGTGCCGCTTCGTGCCTGTGTGTCCATAACTGCCACGGAAAATTTCCAAAAATTCTAAAAAAGCTTCAAGGTTAAGCGTTTTAAAATTCTTAAATATGCTTCTGCTCTCAGAGTGGTTGCATTTGATCACGCACGATGCAGCACAGACACGGAGGTGGGGTTTTCTCTGCACGTTGGTTTCCCTCTGTGTAGCGTACGCGTGCGTTCCCCTCTCTTGCAGTGACTGCTCACGCATTTCATTTTCATGTTTTTTTGTGTTGAAAATCAGAGATATTACAGCTTTTAGGATATGTTCAGTTTGCAAAGGATGCTAATTTTTCTGTTTCACACCAAGCCAAGGACCCTTCTTTCTCTTTTTTTTTTCTTTCTTATTTTTGGATAAAAATACAATCAGATGACAAAGACATTGTTATATTTCAAAGGAGTTTAGTGATATATTTGGTTTTGCCCAAAATGGAATGTTTTTTGGAAGTCTTGTCCACATCAGGCTTCTGCACGGTGGGCGTTGGTAGATCTCGACGTTTCCACGCCCTGGGCCGTGCCTCTGCGAGGCTCGCTTGGGAAGCAGCGTGGATTGTGGCATGGATGTGTTTGATCCCCTCTTGTTTTTTGTAGAGCTGGAGAAGGAACGAAACCGAGGCATTGGGAAACCGCTGCTAGGAGGGCCCTTCTCACTCGTCAGCCACGAGGGACAGCCCAAGACCAGCAAGGACTACATCGGCCAGTGGGTGCTGATCTACTTTGGCTTCACACACTGCCCTGACATCTGTCCTGATGAACTGGAGAAAATGATTGAAGTGGTAGATGAAATTGGTATGGGAATTCGGTTGGCGTAGGGGTCCTGTTTATGGGAAGTCTAGGTTTATTGCGGTAAAATGTCGCAAATGCTAATAACTGATGATCTTCTTTAAAAGATGCTGTTGACTACTATTCAGTAGTTGAATTAATTGCTAAGTGATACATCAATCTACCGGTCACTAGGATCTGATACTTAGAGCATGACAGCTCTGATCTTTCTGCAACAGGGGACTTCTTGGTAATAAAACGTGATGGTGGCAGGTTACAGGGAACGGTGCCCTTGCGTTGTGTTTTTGCCAAGAAGTGCTTGTGGGGCGTATTAGGATTTTTTTCCCCTCTGTTTTATTCATTCTGAGAACAAGTCTCTGTGACAGTCTCTTCTGAGAGTGACTGTAACTGAGGTTAGGGGAAGGCTGTGTGGGAGAGGTGGTTTTCTCAGCCTGCAGGTCCTGAAGAGTTACAGAGCAGGGATAATAGTAACCGAGCAAGCGGGAGGGTGGACTAAAGTGAAGAAAATCTAGTGAAGGCTATGGCTGGAACTTGAGGAAAAGAGCCTGAATTGTGTCTTCACCTATCCTCCCGCTCCGCCATCACAGGCGTGCTTTCATTGTGTTGACCGTTGCGCTTTGACACGTGCATCATGCATTTTCTGCATCAGAGCCAATTTGCCATCTCTCCTAAGCAGGGCAGGGTCTCCAGCTGAGAGGCTGGAAGCGTAGCTGCACCCAGCACAGGCACAGAGCGTTGGATTTCATGGCATTTGCTTCATTCAAAAATTACATAAATTAAGCTGCACAAAACAGTCTTTTTTTTTCACTTAGTGTGGGCTTGAATTGATGTTACGGTACCTTGGCTGTGAGTTCATTTGAAGGGAGGTGAGAAATGGTTTTTGTTTTTCTAAGAAAAATAATAATTGTTAATGTCATAGATAGAATTCCATCTTTGCCTAATCTGACCCCACTCTTCATCACTATTGATCCCGAGAGGGACGACGAAGAAGCCATTGCCAGATACGTTAAAGGTATTCATGTTTCCTTCCCTGGTATCTTATAGCATGCAATACAGAGCACTGAAAAGGAGGCTCTTGATGGCATTCTTTTCACTAAAATGTCTAAATGTCGTCTTCCTATCTAGAATTTTCTCCGAAGCTGATCGGGTTGACTGGTACCAAGGCACAGATTGACCAAGTGGCGAAAGCTTACCGTGTGTATTACAGCGAAGGTCCCAAAGATGAGGACAATGATTACATAGTAAGTAAATGTCGGGCCTTTGCCTAGTGACAGACTTTGGATAAGAGCAGCATATAGATTTTAAAATCGGAATCTATACTGAAGTCCTACGTGATGGGGCCCTGCGGCACCGATGTGTTAAGCTGTGTTTTAGAGGTCTCCGTCAGAATCAAGATGCCCTCTTACAAGCTCAGAACCTCCCTGAGACATGTTCTGAAAACGTACAATCCCCGGCCTGCATATGGAATGGCAGATGAGCCAGCAAGCCTGGCAGTTTGAATTTTTTTCTGCCATGTGATGTTTTTATCTGGCTGTTTTCCTGTGTGCTCCAAAGTGAAAATGGAACTGGGAAATTAAGGCAATAGGAACAGGGAGAAATGAGAGGTAAAAGTCAGTAGCAGCTCGCTCCCTGCCGAGCTGACACCAGGGAGCAGGGGCTTCCTGGCAGGAGACTTGGATGATGCAAAGTCTGCCTGCAGATACTGCGGGGATCTTCCTCCTGGTCAAATGGCCTGGAAGAGAGAGCGTGCTAATGCTAAATTAAGTGGGAATAAAATACGTAGAGTAATAGTGGGAAGGGGGAAACTGAGGTTTAAGTGAGGCTAAACTGGGTAGTCAAACTCGTACCCTCTGGAAGTGAGTAGGACTGGTTACAGGGCTCAGAGCTGCTGCCGAGGCCTTCCTGACTTGCCGCATCCTGCGCAGACTGGAAGAGTAAAGTAGGTACAAGTGACATGACGAGTGAGAATACATATTATATGGTCTTCATTTTTTTTCTTCATTACAAGAACTAAGGGCATCACAGAAAACTGAAAACAGGTTCAAAAGGAAAGGTGATGGTTCTTGTTGCAGTGGGCACGGGAGAAGTGGAATCCCTCGCCACAGATGCAAATGGTAGAAGTTTGTGGGAGTCCACAGGAGGCTTGGTGTTAGTCTTCGGAAAAAAACAGTCTGTTGAGGATTATGAAATGCACAGAAATCTTGCCTAGTTCAGGAAGCCTGTGAGCTAAAAATGTTTGGAAACTGGGAGGTAATAGAGGAAGACAGCATATTTTTGGTGGTGGTTTTACACTCTTCTTTAAAGCAACCATTGTTGGCCACTACTTGAGGCAGGATGCTGAGGCAGATTGGTTTTGGTTTAATCCAGTACTGTCTATTCTTAATCTGCTTTTTAAAACCACCTGACTGCAACAAATAAATTATCCATGTGGACGAAAAGATTGGTGGAACAAAAAAGTGGTGCATAGAAACAAACAGCAGGAGCAGCACATGATCTCAGTAAAGAGAAGGTGGAGTAAAAGGGGTGTGAGATGGGAGATCAAGAATTTGTTTTCACTTAAAGTGGCAACTAAAGAGCTACAGAAGTCTGTGTCTAAGATACTGTATTTGAATGGAGGAGAGAGGCTTGCTGGAGAAATTTAACACGAATTTAAATCAATATAGCATCAGTCTGAAGTCAATCTAAAGATACTGCTTAAAATCAGATTTATAAAAGGGAGCTGGTGGAAATGCAAGAATAGGTTACAGGACCAGGATTGGCAACGGATGCCTGCTCAGGAGAGGGAAAAAGTCAGTAGAATCTGACACTAAATGAGTGAACTGAAGTTGAGATGATGGAAAGGGGCCAGAAAAGCTGAAGGAGGGCTGCTCCTTATGGAGGAAACCACATGTGGATTCTAGCAAACCACACCTGGGTTCTGGCATGGCCATGAAAGGAAAGTACAGGGGTTCGGCCAAGGCAGATAACTCTGTAGATGATGGCAGCTTCAAGGGAGGCTGGAGGGTGAAACCGAACTGGAGAATGGGGCTACAGATGTATTGAAGTAGGAGAAGGGATTCAGGATCCAGGGTGAATACAGCTGGTTGTAAGTCTGAGAGAAAGGAAGGGCAGCGAGGGAGAAAAGCCAGTGAGCAGGAGAGCAGCCTGGGAGCCCCAGACGTGGTGCCAAGGAGGAAGAATATACCTGCATCTCTTCAGGATTTGCCTTAGGCTTTTGGCTTTGAGAGGCAGTGAGCTCTGTGTGCTCAGGGCGGGAAGGCCAGGGGACACAGATCTCTGAAACAAAATGGAAGGCGGATAGCAGCAACAGCAGACCTGGGAGGGACAGCTTGAGGCTGGTTTTATGCCTACCTGAGACGTATCCAGGTAATTACAGCTCTGTCATTTCCTCCAGTAAGGTGGTTTTTTCCTCGTTATGTCTTGCATGGACCTGTCGTGCCAGCTGGTGATTAAGACTGATGCTTGTGCAGGAGCGGGTTCTGTTTCCTCTGCAGGCTGCTGGGAGGTGGGGAAGAGGAGGAGGTCCCCTACAGCCAATTAAACTTTGCTGCTTGTTTTGACTTGAAAAGAGCATTGAGAAATTATAATTTCTAAACATCTGTTTGAATTTTTCAAGTATTACTTGACTATTACTGGCTCCTATTTTATAATCTCATTTTTTATAATTCTCAATACCAGAATATCCAATTTACTTGTTTTATTCTGTGGTTTACAAGATTGCATTGAAACTCAAATGATGATCTTATGTGCATACAGTGGGAACAGTGCAGGCTTCAGGCACAGCTTGAAAAACAGTGGTCTTCTGCACACAAACCGCGCTCCACCCTGACTGTATTTCATCTTCCATAGGCTGGGGAGTTAAGATACTCTGGGCAGGCTAGCTGGTTTTGGTTTTTTTTGTTTGTTTGTTTGTTTGTTTTTTTTGCTGCTTTCCAGTTGAAGGATCTAAATTGTGATTCGGATTCCTTAAAAAAATTGTCTCCTACAACTTGATTTTGTGATCTTATCTTGAAAATTTGAAACTAGAGTAAAATATTTGAATTAGACCTGCTTCAATAAGATTGTGAGAAACATTCTTTCAATGACAGAAATGCCACTAAGTTTAATGCATCCTTTTAGCTTGTGGTACTGGAAATGTTTATGTGATTTTTTCTAATTTCACACACAGTTTTATTCTCGTTGAGTAAGTACATTTCCGTTCTTTTTCTCCAGTGGCAGTGAGATGATGATGTCACTTGAGCAGTCACAGATTCAAGGCCTCCCTTTTCAGTGTTTTGTGTCTTTGCTCATAAAGATGTTGTCACAGTTAGATGCAGACGGTACTTGCAGTGGCATTTTAAATACATTTACAGTGGAGTTAATTTTTATATAAATCATATCGGAATACCTCGAACATTCAAGCGTTACTTTGCACATTTTTTTAAGGTTATTTCAATTCGGACAGTAGAGGGAGCCCCCTCCCAGCGCATGTGTGTCACTTTGCGCCAGCTCCTCTGCAGCTCCTGTATCCTGGCGATGCTCTTGGTCCCATTGTTTGCACTGACAGTGAACTTGGTTTAATGAAATACCTCTGTTTACATTGGATTTGCATCGTATTAGCAGCAGGAGCTTGAATACCTTCTGGGGGTCATGGAGCATCATGAGAAGTAGAGGGAAACTGGGAAGAGTGAGGGGGCAAGACCATTAGCCCACAGGTTTGCCCCAGCCTTGTCTGTGCTGCAGGAAGGGTGCCAGCAGCTTAGGGAAGACTTGTCTGCTTAAAGTATTCCTTCACACATTCTGAGTATGCAACTGGTTTTCTCTATTTTTTTTTTCTTGGGTAAAACAAGAAGAGGCCACCGAGGTGATGCTGAGGTTTTCCTTATCTTGCTTTAGCTTCTTGGTGAGAAGCCTTGTCAGACAGCTGAACCAAGGGCTGAAGGGGAAGCTGTTGCTGCTGGCTTCGGGAGATGTGCAGGATGCTCCAGTATTTAAAGGGTGGCTACGAAGAAGATGGAGACTCCCTTTTTACAAGGAGTCACGTGGAAAGGACGAGGGGTAATGGGTACAAGTTACTCCTGGGGAGGTTCCGATTGGACACAAGAGAAAAATTTTTCACAATGGGAATAATCAGCCATTGGAACAATCTGTCCAGGGAAGCGGTGGATTCCCTAACATTGGACACTTTTAAGATTCGGCTGGACAGGGTGCTGGGCCATCTTGTCTAGACTGTGCTTTTGCCAAGAAAGGTTGGACCAGATGATCTTTGAGGTCCCTTCCAATCTGGTATTCTATGATTCTGTCATCTTTTTTACCAAGTCACGATGTGCTCTCTTACAGGTGGATCACACAATAATAATGTACCTCCTCGGGCCAGATGGTGACTTCGTGGACTATTATGGCCAGAATAAGAGGAGCTCTGAGATTTCTGCTTCTATTGCTGCACACATGAGAAAATACAGATCCTGAAACACAAGGTCTTCAAAGATTGATGTGAACATCACCTGTACATTTGGCTGTAACTGGGCATTGGAGTTGGAGCTGAAGTGTACAAGTGTAACATCCTGTCACCACCTGCCTCCTTTCTTCCAAATAAGAAAGGCAACCATACTTCTGCAAAATACCATTATCAAAAATCTCTGTAGAGCCTTCCCCATGGATATTGTTTGCAACAAGATCTAGGCTACAGAATGAAATCTGGGACTTCTCTGAAACATTGTTGGGAGCAAAAAATGGAAAACACTTTTCATTCGGGAGGAAGGTGTGTATCACTGGTAAAATGAATTGGTAGCTCTTGGCGAGACATCAGCAAAGGATGGTCACTGCAGGAGGATGATTACTTGATGAAAAGCCATGTGGGCCGTGGCATTCTCAGAGGACCCCTCCCCTCTTTGTTTCTGCACTGTTTTGCCTTCTGGGAGAGGCAGTTACAATATTATCAGCAGGAGAGCCTTAAGAGTACTTCTTTAGCAAGGTTAAGAAGGTGAGGAGCACTGAAAGCATCAGCAGCTTCCACGCATGGGACCGGCCCTGTAGTGTGCCTGATCTCTTCTTCATTTGAATGCAGAAATGAAATGCTTTTTCTTGGTGATTTTTCCAGGTGAACGGCGTTAACTTACAAGGAAATGAGTAATGGATTGCAAATAGATTTTTCTTCTGGTCTAAACTATTTTATGCATAGTCGGCCTGATATGAATGTTACTGAATAGTGAAGTGGGGAGGATGAAGGGGGTCTGTGTCCACGCGTACATCTGTCAATCAGACAAATTCTATGCAGTGCAGCATTTGAAAATAAAGATTGCTTTGTATAAGCAATACTTTTTTCTCCCTTAGTTAGGTTTGACTAGAATATCATCAGATCTTTGTCTACTGGTCAAGCTTCATATCCTTGCTCTGTTTTATCTCTTTTTGGAAAGTAGTGTTTATCTGTAGCAGTGCAAACCATAAGCTGAATGTGTTTTTTTTTAAGGCAGCTGAACCCCAGACAATGGCCCACAGGAGACAAAACAGAAGAGTTCTTGGTGCGAGTCCCAGAGTGTTTCAAACTGGACACAGGTGTTCCTACTGGTAGCGCTGGCATTCGTCTGAGTGGGGGGGTTGGAAGAGAACGCTCCTGTCTGAGGGAAGGTGCAGTGTCTATGGTAAATGTCCATCTTTCCAAAATCCTGAAAAACAGTACACTTAACCTGTTCCAGAGCAGTTATAAAACATGATAAAGTAGTGTAGGTCCACATCAGCTGCCCTGTACTATGGTGACCTCCTGAGGGTATCGGGAACGTCACTGTGATAGAGTATGGCTAGGACTGCACTTTTCTGATAAAGCTCTGTCAAGGAAGCAAGATTCCTGAAGTTCCAAGATACAATTTTCTTTTTTTTTTCCCTTCTCTCCAATACTAGGTAGTTTAAAGAAGATTTTTTTTTTCTGTTTTAAAGGATCAGCAAGAATTTTTCTGCATCAGTTTACAGTGGGAGTTCTAAAAAGTGGGGTTGTCCTGCTTGTCTCGCTGCTTCTTTTGTATTAAAGAGTCCATTCCTCCCTGTTCTGTGTTTCTTGAAAATACTGATGCAGAAGACCTGGTGGGAATGTGACTGAGAAATGGAGCAGCTGATCCAAGAGGATATTCTGTTTGCCTCTTTAAAGTCTGTTTGTGCTTCTCTTGATTACTCCCAAGTGCTTAAGATACCCTGTGGAGAAAAGATGAATTTTAATACTGTAATTTGAATCTTTAGGGACTGAAAAGACTCATAATACATGTTTTCAGCCATATCTATCTTGCAAAAGGAATGGGAAAGATACAATATTTCAAAGCTAAAAATGCAGCAGGTTGATCGTGGGGCTGAGGGAGAGAGAGGGTGTACTTATTTAAAACCCATTTTACTTAACTGACCGCTAAGTAGAGGAGTGGTTTGAATTTGATGCGTGCGGTAGCCTCTGCCAGGAACAGGGCTTGGCCTGGGGACCCGTCGCTTCTGGCGGCGTGGGGGATCTCCGTCAGCAGCAGTCGCTGAAGTGCCAGGGTTGCGTATTGTGCCGTGCGGGGTTTCTCCCTACCATGCCGGTGTGCAGCCTCCTGGGACTGAGACCTCCCTTTGTGTTTGGGCTCTCTTATTGCCCCTCCATTTTTCAGAGGGGAGCATGTGTGAAAAGCGTGGCAGTTTCCTTGAGTCTTCCCTTAAATCACTGTGCTGGTGGTGGTTTGCATATCATGGAAGCAGAGGAGGGGCATGTGCACGCTCTGCAGCCGGAGGTGGTTTAAAGGGAGTGGTTTTAACTGACGTAAAGGATACGCTCATGCAAAAATGCCATGAGAGGGGCTGGGCAGGTGGGTTGCTTGGCACAGTGATCTTCAGTAGGTTCTGGTGAGTTGTTACCGGCAGCAGGAAAGAAATAGTGAAAAATGGACTCCTGTTCCTGAATGATTGCCATGAAACCCCTGCCGCTCACCTCTCATATCTGTCTCACAAAAACTGGCTCTGTGATGAAGTCAGTCATACCACAGGATGCTCCCTTTTTTCCATTGCGTGACTCCACGTCACATCGCTCTTGCATTTTCACATAGGTCGGGTACTTGGTCTCTGGACAAAACTGGCTTTCATGGGTGACACCTTCAGGTCTGTGTTTGTTTATTTGACCACTCGTGAGTTGTTCGTGGCTGTGGAATCTCCAGGGCCAAGTCTCTGCCCCATCTCTTTATCATCCTGTGGCTGTACTTCTCTACACAGCATCCTTTGTCTGCACTTCTCAAGGTCTCTGTTGTCACATCAGGCTTGTATTTCCTTATATTGCATCAATACGTTAGTGTCAAATACCTTACTCTGCACAGAATGCAATCTGTGTAAAACTAGGGTTGTACGAAGCAATGATAAGTAAAAATAAAACAAATTAGCCAGAAGAAAAAGATAGGTATTACAGCTAAGCCAAGTTAAAAAAGTAGAAGTCAGTAGAAATTTGGACGAGGCAAGGCTGCTGAGCCCCTGTCCTGGGGCTTCGCAGACTCGGTACAAAGCCTGTGGCGGCAGCGTGTCAGGGATCACCCTACCTGCATTTATTTCCCTAAAGCTAATTTGCAGCTGACTCCCGCTACAGAGACAAATGTAAGATTTCTGTCTTCTCCCAAATGTTTTGGCATAATTGTTGTGTCCTTTAACTTGTTTTTATGTGCCCTGAAAGGCAGAGCCAGCTGACGCAGGAAGCTTGTGGCAGACTGGGGGGCCTTGGGAAGGGCACAGAAAGATTTTGGATGGGGGACTGGCCCGTGGGCCACACCAGGGCACTCGAGCGTGTGCCTACCCTCCTGGCACTGGGAGCTGCTGATGTCCTGCTGCTTTCTGCCTCTCAAATTGACCCTGCCCATCTCTTTTCCTTCAGTCCTCCCCAGGAGGGAAACTTTCTTTGGAAGTGAGGTTTTTTATTTGGTTTTTTTTTTTTTTTAAGAAAACAAAAACAAAACCAAAAAAACCCCTGTTGGTTAGGCAGCTGTTAGGCGTTCACTGCCCTGCCTCGGTGACAGCAGGGAGCACAGCTCTCTTCCCTGCACGTTTAGGAGGATCAAGGGCTGTGCTGAACGCTCACCAGGAGGGGGCAGAGCTGTTCACGGGGTGGATATGTAGTGGGGGAGAGGGAATATGCTGGGGGGGCTTGGAGCCCCTTGTCAGTGGATGTCCAGTATTTCTGCAGTATTAGAAGCAGAGCAAACTGCCCCTGCACTCATCGTACCCAAATGCCCTGTAGCCCAGAGCGCGGTGCTCGGCCCATGAAGCGGGAGCTGAGCTCTGGCAGGGGAAGGTTTACGACAGGAGTCCTTGCTTGTGGCTGTGCTGAGTGCTGGACGGGGGCCGGGGGGTGCCTGGATCCCGAAGTGGGTCTCCCCTGTAGAAGCTTTACCAGACTACAGGTTTCACTTGGGAACCGAATTTGTTGGAGTCTGGTGCTGTGAAGGTGAACAACTGTTACCTCGGGTAAACGGGGACCCCTGGGTACCCCACGGACGGACGGACGATGGAGTGCAAGCCTGGCAGAGGTCAATCCATAGAGCGTTGCTGTGTGCGCCCACGCCACACCCAGCCCCAGCCTGTGTCCCGTAAAATACCAGTGGAAAATAGCATCTCCTCAGAGCAGCTGCCATCCCAGGCTACTACCGACTGCAGAGCCGGTGCCATCCCAGGCTGGGGACTGGTGACAAGATACCTGAGGAACGAGGGATGGCTCCATTTGTCTACCCAAGGAAGGCAAGGGGATTCCTCGTGTGCTGCGCACGTAGCCCATGGAGGAGCTGAACTAACGAGCGGTACTTCAGCCATGCAGGCGAGGCTGGCTGTTCTAGGAACGTTCTCACCACCAGCACGGGTAGAGCCAGGGACTGAAGAGGTACAGAGACCGTGGCTTTAAATATCCGCAAAGCCCAATGTTGTGTTTGCAGTCCAGATCATGGAATAACTCAGATGGGAGGGAACCTCAGGAACCAGATTGCTCAAGGTTTTAAACAGCTAGGGCTTGAAAACCTCCAAGGGTGGAGGCTGCACAACCTCTCTAGATGGGTAAAATATTTCCCACTAGAGCAAATCTTTTCATCTACATCCAGTCTGAACTTCTCATTTCAACCACCATTTTAACTCTTGTTCTTTCACCGTGCACCAGGGTGAAGAGCCTGACTCCATCTTCTTGATAACCTCCTCATAGGTATTGGAAGGCTGCTGTTAATTCCTCCTGAAGCCGCCTCCTTCCCAGGCTGACCAAGCCCCGTTCCCTCAGCCTCTCCTCATGTTGTATGCCATGGCGGGCTCCAGGCCCCTGACCATCTAGACCTCAGGTTCTTCTCCCCAGACTGCCCCTGGCCAGTCAGTTCCCAGCATGTGTTTTTGCAAGGACGTTTTCCTTACTGGGTGCAGGACTTTGCATTAGTCCGTGTTGAACTTCATAAGGTTCCTGCCAGCCCATCCCTCCAGCCCGTCTGGGTCCCTCTGGGTGGCAGCTCTGACCTAGAGCGTACCAGCTGCTCCCCACACTATGTTGTCATCTGCAAACTTTATAAGCAACTGGGCTGTTGCCTCTGCAGGTCATTGGTAAAGGTGTTAAACAGGAAAACTCCCAGGACTGACCCATTAACAACTGTCTTCTGTGTCGTCTTGCCCAGCCAGGTTCGTTGCCCATCTAGTTGCCCACCCATCCAGACCATAAACTCCTAGCTTGGACACAAGAATATTGTG